CCCATCTTTCTCAACCTTGCCCCATACCTGCCGAGCAAGACTTGAGAAGTTGAAGTGATTCCACGCTCCCGTCGCACAGAGTGGACCGCGGTGGGGCTAATTCCCTGTGGTCTAACCCTGTGTGCTAACAGGTTCCCGGCAGAATCAACAGCAAATCTGTTAGCTTGTTAAGCAACGCCTAATATCATTGCTCTCATAAAGACTGCGGTTTCACAGACATCCTATTCCTGTCTTTTTTCTTCATGGATTGACGATGCGTTTGGAGTTGGTGTGGATCTTGCTGTTGGGGTTATGAATTTAACATGAAGGGTTCTTAAGGCCACACCATTAACCCTGAGTCTTTCGTGTGAAATATGAGACCACGTAAAGATGGTCAAGATTCAATGATGAAAGATGTTGGACTTCGAGACAATAATCCAAGCACCTGTCTAACTAGGCGACGTGAATTAAGGCAGCAATCTGCGTTGAGGATCTAGTCGCCAACCAACCACCCATGAACCCGACGACCCGACTTGCAACTCTTACTTGATTTGAACGGGATCCCAACCTTCTACTGGGCGTGTGGATATATCTGTCCAGGCGATATCACCTTCGTAGTTGTGGTATCCTTCCTCCCATCACCTGTCTTGTAGCACATCGGAGATACGCTGAGGAACACGGGCTTCTGCATCCCATGCTCGGCATCATTGTCATAGCAAAGCACAAAATCTTGACCTAGCAGAACCAAGGTGTTCCTTTGAGGAAACATAAGGCCAAGCTCTGACCGTTGCATCCCGAATTGGAGAGCAAGTTCGCTGGCCTTGAACACCATCTTCTCAACCGTCTGTTCGATGGCTTGCGGGATTCCACCAACGCATATGCGGCGAAGTTCTGTTAGTATATTTTCGCGGACATTGTTGCGGTTCTGGAAGAATGGCGAGCTCAGGTAGTCGGACAAAGACGAGTGAGCTTTGTCCTTCTTCGGTAGCAAGGCCGCCATGACGGCCTGGAAGGTGGACGATCTCCATTTGTTGGTCTCCTTGTCATTCCGGAGGAAATTGACGTAGTCTTCTTCAATCGTTGCCATGTCATACTCCCCAATGGGCAAGCGAACTATATTAACGAGCGAGTTTGTTAACATTGGAAAAATTGCGTAGTCGTGATCTAGACACATACCCTCAGACTTCTCCGTCCCAAGTAATTTGCGGTAGGCGATCCAGACTTCAAGAAGCCTCTGCTTCCCCTGCTGGGGACCCAAGGCACCGAGCCCGAAAGGAGCAGAAAAGAAGCCATACATCATGTGCTCCCAGAAGATGCCCTGCAACAGGAACCTCAGCTGATCCCTCCCTTCCCTCTCCAAAAACCCGCCAGGGTCTAGCTGGTTGACCTGGAAAAAGTCAACCGCAGGCAAGTTATGCGTTATTTTGCTGATGTCGAGATTGAGCTGGTCAAAGTCGACTTGAAGGTGATCATCGGTTGCCGGCCGATAGTCGTCCGAGTTGTCGACCAGGCTGCTCTCCAGCAAGCGGACCTTGTTCTCGAGATCCTTGACAGCTTGTTGTTTGTTGAGTTCCCACTGTATACCGACTTGGTTGATGAGGTCTTGACATTGAGCGTGGAATGCTTGCATCTTCTGTTCGTGATCGATCTTTTGCTGGCTCAAAGCCACCTCATGCTCCTCCGTCAGCCTCTTGAGTTTTTGGTCGTGTGCATCCTTGTACGATTGGTACTGTGTCTGCATTATGTTCTTCTCCTGTCGCAGTGTGTCGATCTCGGCTTGAAGCGTTGTTCGGACCTTCTCCGTCGCAGCAAGTTGATCGGCCTTATGACTGTCGAGTTTCCTTTTCAAGGCCTCTATCTCCGTATTGAGCTTGCCGATCTCCGCATTAAACCTGTGCTGATGCCGCTTCCTCTCCTCCTGGAGCTGGTGCTGGTGTCTGTTTTTCTCTTCCTGAAGTCTTCGTTCGTGCTCCGGGTTTAGTTGCTTGAGACGGTTGTCCAAGGCCTCAAATTCGCCCCACCATTTGTTGCGTTCTGCAATGAGTTCGTCTTGGTCCTTCAAACTCTGCACCAAGCGTTCATTCTCCAACTTGATTTTCTCCACCCGTGCCGTTTGCTCTTTGTTGTAGTCTTCCCAATCTGCGACTGAGGCGAGCTGTTCGTTACAGTAGTCAATGATCATGTCAAAAGCGGTCTTTTGTTGCTCCAGGCCTTTCCACTTCTTAGCAGCCAAGTATTTCTTGATCCCTCCTTCCAACTTGATCTGTTCCCTCTCAAGCGCGTCCCTCTCGTGTTCCACTCGCTGTTTCTCGTCCTCGACCAGTTTCTTCTCATTTTCCAGTCGCTCCTTCTCGTTTTTCAGGGAACCGATGCTCTGGTGGAGAGTACCTGTGCTCTTCCTTTCGCTCTCCAAACGTTCTCTTTCGCTTTCCAAACTCTCCGTCAAGCTTGCTACCTTCTGGGTCAAGGTGGTTTTCTCAATCTTCCAGGCCTCGGCCTGAGCCTCCAGGTCGCGGATTCTCTCATCCTTGGTAAGTTGATCAGCAGGCTCTCCTTGAATTTGGGATTGTTGGCGTGCCCGGAAGCTCTGAGGGTCTGGGTTTTGGATAGGCAAGCTCAGTTCTCCTTGAGCCTGGGTGCTTGGAAGGGCCATCTCAAAGCTGTGATGGGTGATGCTTTTAGGTGGGACGGCTGGGGGTGGTCCTGCAGAATCTTGTAGTGTTGATCTGTTGCCATTTTGGTTCAAGGGACCTTGGAGACCTGAATAAGACTGAGGGTTTGGCTTGAAGTATCCCGTTGGACTGGAGGACCTTGAGAGCCCCAAGGACATTGAAGGAGTGACGAGAGTTGCAGCGGGCGTACCGAAAGACGTCTGACTGACAGGCAGTCCGTTAATAGGGGAGCTAGAGGAAGGGGGAGGGCTGGAAGAAGACAAGGGATATCGTGAAAATTGTGAGTGGTAGGTGTTGTGTGGAAGTGAATAGGTGCGGGGACTGATCGTGGTTGATGGTGGCGGGAATTGTGTTACATGTTCGGGGTGGGAACCGCTGAACGGCGCTTGAAGAGTGGCATTCACCGGTGAATAGGCGTCCGGAGTCGCATCCATTCGAGGACCTGTGGTAAAATTTACAGGAGGAAGAACCGGGGCGTCAGAAGGTGATGGCTGAACCGACGCGGACCGCACAGGTTGCTGAGCGCGAACTTGAGGATCACCAGAATGTGTGTTTGGTGCTGGCTGGTGTGGAAGAGCATGCTGGGGCTGGGACATCATCCGTTGGTAGTACTCTGGACATGCTTGGGAGAGCCGTTCCTTGACCACATCGGGCAGTTTCAGAAATGTCGCTGCATCGAGCTCTGATAATATTCCGACCTCCTTGTTGTTGAGATAGCCCATAAGCCCAGGTGCTTTTGTCAACACGACAGCCAGTCTGTGCGGATGGTGGTTGGCTATATACCGAACCCGATCTTCAGGAATTTCACATATCCTGTTTTCCGAAACTCTCTTGAGAATGTGTGAGTGGAGATGAGCAAGCCTGTCGACGTCAATTTCGTTCAGCAATTCAACAGGCAACTGGTCCTGGCGCTCTCGTGATAGTTTGTTGAGGACATCTGGATCGTTCTTTTGCTTGGGCTTCTCTGTTGGCCTGTCTTTCCTTCCAAAGTTGGAGACCTTTTTCTTGGTTTTGTCAAAGATGTTTCGAGCAGTAGACGATCCGCGAGGAGGAACATCAGGCCGTAAATCCGGATATGCCGGCGTCGCGAAGTTGTTGGGTATGTTCGCCATGCTGACGACGAGGAGGTGAAATACCTAGAGAGTCAAGTTCAAAAGAAAGGAACTGAACCGCGAAGGGTGGTGATGGCATCGCACGAAGTAGCAAGACAGAGATGAGCACCAAGAAGGTGCATCGCCTCCTCCGTAGCCTGATCACCCATCGGGTTATCTCGTCTCTGTGCTGCCGACCCCCCGCCGGAGCTGAAAAATGGTGCCTTTCCATCAACACCTCAGGCTTGTGTCCATGCAGTTGTTGTCATTGCACACAGTGCACAAAACGGAGTGGTAACTGATTACTGCCCCTCCCCCCTCATAGCTCCCAGCCCAAGCTCAAGGAAGGCGCAGCATATTGCGCTAGTAGGCGCCACATGCAGCGGGGTGATGCGCGGCGCAACCAACTCACACTTCCTCTCACCAGTCCCATCAATCCAGCCTCACCATGCGAGCGCTTCGAGTGTATCCGTAACCGACATGGATCATCCAATTGTTCAGGCCGGGGGCGCAAGGCCCAAGGCAAACCCCCTTGGAGGGGCATCATCTCTTTGTTCTGTGTGACTGGACAGGAACTTCCATATCTTCTCACCTCTTTACTTTACAGATACATGCATCTTGCTTCAAGTCTTTCTTTCTGATGCTCTGAATCACCTCGCTTCAACCCATTGGCATTATTGGCATCATGGCTTCCTCGACACCACCCCCTCCTACCGCTAAACCGCCGCCACCTCCCCCCTTACAATCAGGCTCAACATCTGAAGCATTTGGGCAATTCACGTTCACGGGGTTACCTCCTGGACTGTTCTCAAACAAGCACACAGCTCCGCAACGAACGTCCTCTCCCGCTGCCCAGAGCACGAACGATGCCCCGGCGTCGACGACATCCCCGTCTTCATACAAGCTCTCGGCATCAGCATATGGCTCTCAAAAAAATCCCCGTCCCCCAGCTTCAGCTCCGCCATCCCAATGGCAACCCCCGGGCCCGGCAAGCTTCAGTAGCCCTATGCCGCCTCTGACAGCCCCATCATTTGGAGGTCAGGTCAATGTGAAAACCCAGGGTGGCCAGGGACAGCGATCAGTCCAACTGCAATTTGAAGGCCAACGAACGCCCGATGTCATGCCAAAACCTCCTCCACCAGCACAGCCGGCCGCTGTACCAACAGGAGAAACACGTCTGCAGATTGCTCTTGACTATGGCACCACCTACACCGGTATGTTCAGCTCATTGATTGCCCATTAGGTAGATGTCACGCTGATGTTGCGGGCAAAACCAGGTGTTGCTTATTTGCCCGTATCTGCCAACAACTTGAAACATCGCGGGTTGGAGGAATTCACAGAAGACATCAAAGTAATCACAGCTTGGCCACCAAAGGAAGAGCAGGAAAAAGTCCCATCCCAACTCTCCTACTCCGTCACGCCTAAAGGCTGTGCACAGTATGGCTACGACATTGACGATAACTCCCTGGTGTTGAAGAAGACAAAGATTCAGCTCGAGGCAATGGGCACTCGCCTCGACGAGCTGCGGACCCTGAGCGAGTTGCTCAAGGAACTTCGCGATCTGGACCTCAGCGAGGAGGAAGTGATCGAGAACGGCATTCCCGAGCATCTTGCCAAAGAACCCGAGGAGATTGTCAAGGACTACTTAAACGAGGTTGCAGAGAAGACAGAAAAGATCATCACCACTGAGCTTGGCAGACATGTGCTGTCAAATGTTGCCATAGACTTGGCTGTCACTCATCCAGCAGTAAGTGCTTATTTTCCCATGCCTTGTACTGTATGTGGCTAACTCATCAAGTAGATTTGGTCAGACCGAGCCCTCAACTCTACGTACCGTGCCGTTCGGGCAGCCTTTAATCATGACCTCTTCCCCAAGCTGGAGAACATTTCATTTGTCTCTGAGCCGGTTGCCTGTGCTCACTTTACGCTTCGTGAGGCATGGAAGAACAACCGGGTGCGGTTCAGAAAGGTACGAGCCCGCAGTTTATGGCTACCTTGGCCAGTGTTGAACTTGACTGATAAGGCAAAACAGAATGATTGTTTCATTGTGGTCGATGCTGGCGGTGGGACCGTTGTGAGTCTTTCCCTAGCATTCATGACAAAGACCAAGTCTAATCAGACATGCTGTGATAGGATCTTGCTTGTTACAAAGTTGTGGACATTGACTACGAGAAGAAGGAGATGAAGCTGGACCAAGTCGGAAATCCTTTGGGTAAGCTTGCTGATTATTGTTGCCTGACTGGGTTCGCTAACTTTTCCCAGGCGCTACTTGTGGGTCGACTTGCGTCGACGATGACTTCGAGGCTTTCGCAGCGTACCAGTTAGGCGACAAGGCCTGGCAGCAGCTCACCACGGAAGGTGTCAAGCATGCTGCTGGAGGGCATACTATCATGAGGCCTACACTTCGTGGCATACAAGAGAAGTTCCAGGTCATCAAGCACAGTTACGACGGAAAGGAAAGCGGATTAACAGCTCCTATCTATTTGCCCAAGAGCTTCCGCATCTCTGAGGAAATGAAAGGTGTCTCGAACGGAGCGCTGAGTATAACACCGTAAGTCATTGTGACCAATGTGCTGATGGCGTATTCTTACATGCCATCTACCAGGGCCGACCTGAAAAAGATGTTTGACCGATCGGTCAACAAGACTGTCTATCTTATTCAGCAAGCTGTAACTCAAATCAAGCTGGGAGAAGAGCTTACGGTCAAGGTAAGCAATCCGCCCTCCCACGCCTGATGGCTGTGAGCACACGCTAAACCTCCACAGACCGTCTTCCTTTCTGGCGGGTTTGCGCAGAACAAATACCTGATCCAAAGGGTCAAGGAGTTTTGCACCAAGCAAAAGATTGAGCTTGAAGAAGGAAACGGCTCGTGGGCTGCCGTCGCCAGAGGTGCCATCATCAAGTCTCTGGGTGTCTACACTGAGAAGCCCAAGCATGTTATAAGCTGCCCACGATATTACGGCATCAAGGTGCGCAGGCCATTCGCTTCGTACGAGAACCACGCCCGCAGCGACATCGATGTCGATGCCCAAGGCATCCAATGGGCAACGGACCAAATCCGTTGGTTTATCCAAAAAGGCGACGCGATTCTCCCCAACAAACCCACAGTGGCAAGATACGAATTACACTTCTCGATGAACGCAAGCGAATTCCCTGGCACACAGTTGCAGAACAAACGAGGTGGGCGCGGAGTACCACAACAGCCGGCGGCCGTCTTTCGGGATGTTGTATTTTTGTCCTCGTCAAGAGACAAGGCACCGACAGCGATGAGCATGGTCAAAGAGGGTACGCACAGGTCATGGCAAATGTTGATGATGATTAACCCTTTGCTAATATCCAACCTAGAGTCTGAACAGATGTATACATTGAAGGTCAATTTGACCGATGTTCCGCAGGCACATATTGTTCCCGTGGAGACGGGAAACAAACAACAAGGGAGGCAGTTGCAGTTCCATGTCGTGGTTGAGATTCAGGTGTTTGACGAGGTGACTGTAAGCATCAAGAGTGGGGAGACTACATTGGCGTCGAGGAAGATAGCCTTGGAATAGGGGTAGCCCCGGATCACTGGAAATGTTGAGTTCTGTTTCGCAGACCCAAGAGAAAACCCATCCATAGTGCTCTTACTTGTTGCAACAGCTTTGAGTCGGGGGTCGTGAGAATAGGTATCCAGCGGAAGAGAGCCATACCCGAAAGTGAGAAGGGGGCAGCTGGATTAGGCAGTGAATGTCAGCCAGCTCCGGCAAAAGACGACACCGATATCGATCCCTTTCCGTGGAGATCTCGAACTGCGAACCATCCCCATTTCTAAGCCATCTTGAGTCTACCTTGGGGGCTAGAACTACGAGTCTGCCAATACAAAGGCTCCCTTGAGAGCCTTGTGCCAATGCCCAATCCGACTGTCGTTTGGCGCGCCCAAAGCTACCCTAGCTGCAGGCGACCTAATGCAAGCCTCAGCTCTACGTGCAGGGGTTCTAGAGCGGCTGTTCTTGCACACGGCCTACACGCTCAACTTGTACACAGTGCGGGCTGTCGAGATACACAAATACCTGTCAAGGGGGACCGGATGGGCTGCTTGGCCACCAAAAGTCCCCTGGTGTGCCTCGGCGGCCATCAAGTCCTCGTCTTACCCTCACCTTGCACTTGCCCCCAGTATCCTCTTTACTCTTTGGCTCCTCTGGCTGGAACTTGAACTCAGAGTCAGAAATACAATCTTGCATAACCTCCTCCTTGCTGCCCCTTTGGACAGACCTCAGTCATTGCCTTTGCTGTATTTTACTATTCTTTTCTGTACCATCTGTAAAGATTATCAACCATGGCCAGCCGTGTCAAAGGATGGCTTGATCGCCGAAAGAGCATGAGCTCTCTCAAAGCATCCTCCCAAGCGGCCCCGAACAATGATAACCCTTATGGGGCGGACTACAACAAATCGGCTCCGAGAAACGCAGGCATGAATTCGCAGAGGTATTCTTCCATGTCTGTCTCATCTCGATACTCAGGGGCTCTTCCCGGGCGCAATAACCTCGGTCCCATCGAGGAAGACAACAACGGCGGGTTCCTGCCATATCGCCCTCCCCCTCAAAATCCCGCTCCTCCAGCAGCATCGCAATACGACCTGGGATACGGCCGCCCGGCACCGACACCGGTGCAATACTCTGCTCCTCCGGTCCCCGTTCAGTACCAGCCTGCCCCATCTTCGTATGCTCCCCCAACGCAAAGCTTCAATCAGCATCTCGGGCCAAACCAATACCAGAACCACCCGATCCCCCCCGGAACCCCCCCGACACCAAACAGTCAACACAACAGCCTGACCAACATCTACACCAGCGGCAGCAGCAACCCCAGCTCCTACGGCGGAGGCGTGAGCACCCCCGACACCAGATACAGCAGCGACAGCCTCGGCGCCTCCAACCGCGGCTACAACAACTTCCCCCCACAGCCTCCGCAACAACAACAAGACTCCAAACCACCACCGCCCCGCCCATTTACCCTCAGGAAACCCCAATCCCAGCCCCAACCCGTCAACAACCCGCTCCCCAAACCGAGCGACTTCTCCAAGCAGGCCAAAGCTTCTCCCGTCGAGGTCCAGCGGTGCATCAAGCTCCTCCGCGCCTTGTTCAAGCTCCGGATGAAGATCTGGTCCGCGCAGGAGTCCCACTGGTCGACGCACCCAAAGACGATTGAGAACATGGCACAGGCGGACGATTTGCTGAGGGATATCCAGAACATGGTCGGGGACTGGCAGAACAGCATCGCAAAGGGGCAGATGTACTGGGACGAGGAGGAGAGGGCGGAGCTGAGCGTGATTATGCAGAGCCTGAGTATGTTGAGGCCGTACGGGATGGGGGGCGGGCATGGGTTTAGGCAGCAATAGGGGGAGTGGTTGAGGTGGGAAGAGTGAAGATGATGCCCATGGTGTTTTTTTTTCTCTCCCTTCCTTCTTGACCATCTGGAGAAAATGTTAGCATACACGATAGTTTGGTGCAAAGAAGGGGGATTCATACTTGCCTTGCATACCTAGTCGGCAAACATGACGAGAATCCTACTCCTACTGGGGTGTTACTATTCTATACCAAATTCCACATAAAATTACAAACCCATCCCACCAAAACACCTGCTTGACCAGAAAAAAACAAAACAAAAAACTCCCCTACTCCCTACTCAAATCATTCCTCTTCTTCCTCGGCCAATCCGGACAAACATCAATCACCTCCCTCGGAAACCACAGCTCCAAAAACAAAAACAGCAAATAATCCACAATCACACACAAGCAAAACAGCTTCCCCGCCCAGATCCCGCACCCGTAATACCGCTTCAGCCGATCAATCAACGCAAAACTCTGCACCCCTGACCGCCCCCTCGTCGCGCTCCAGCTATTATTCGCATTATCCCCCTCATAATACCCATAAAACTCCCCCTCCGAAATCGCGCCGCAGATACCGTTATACACCCTCTCCGTCCTCACCGCGACATTCTCCCAGCTGTACATCTCCCTCACCTGCGCATGAAACAACTCTGTGCGGACTTTGTTCGCCCTCATCGAGGCGATCGCCCTCCCCGTGGCAGCCACCAGGTCGTCCTCCTCCGGCTTGGCAAACACCGTCATATGACTGGGCAAGACCTCCGGGATCCCACCGACCTGCGTGCAGACTACATACAACCCGCAACTTGCCGCTTCCACAATCACCGTCCCAAACGCCTCCGTAAGTGACGGATGGAGATAGATGTGTCCTCGTACCATCACGTCCCTCACCTCTTCATGACGAATCGGACCGAGCATCTCCACCCTGTCCTGGAGGACATTCTGCTCAATCATTTGCTCTAGATCAATAGATTTGGGCCCGGAGCCGGCGATGATGAAGCGGGTGTTGGGATGGTTTTCGAGGATGCGGGGGATGGCGGCGGTGAGGAGGTCGGTGCCCTTGTTGTAAAAGAGGCGGGAGATGACCACGATGGTGATGATGTCGTGGGGACCTAAAGGGCGGGCCGGGGGTGGGTAGGAGGGGTTTTCAGAGGGGGAGAGGGGTTTGAAGTTTTCGGCTACAACGGCGTTGGGGATGACCGAGACCATTAGGGGGTCGAGGGAGGCGCGAAGGACGGTGTTTTCTTTGCTGTTTGGGGGGTAAGTCGTGAGGGTGGGAAAAGGGGTGAAAAGGGGGGTTTACCAGGTGTGGCTCACGCAAATGACATGATCTACATCACTCAGGGTGAATTTTAGCAACTTGTTGGTGAGGATACTGGCTGCGTCCGCAAAGCCAAACAGTGAATGATCGGTAAACACAGTCCGAAGACCCATGGTTCTAGCGTGGAGGATGGCTTCATGGCAAAAGTTGCTTAGACTGGCGTGACCGTGGACAATGTCGATGCGCTCGCGGAGCACGATGTTGCGGAAGATGGGGAAGAAGGAGAAGACGGTCGGGAAGGTGGCAGAGCGGAAGATGACGAGGAAGGGAACGTGGTAGACCTTGAGGCCGTTGGTGAGGTAGCGGACTCCGGTGCGGCCTTCGTAGGCGTGGGTGATGATGATGACTTTGTGGCCCCTGTCCATGAGCTTGGTTGAGAGCTGGTAGATGTGGCTCTCTACGCCGCCTGGTTGCGGGTAGAAGAAGTCGCTGACCATGGCGATGTTGTATGTGGGCGCCATTTTCGATGGGGGGAGTGTGAGATCCCTCTCATTTTTTGTGAGTTGAGGATAGTGTTATGGAGCTGTCATGAAGACAAGAGTGAGTGTCGTGAGTGAGGGTGAGATGGCTTCATCCAATGCCCCTTCAGGGGACACCAGTGATTGGATGGCGCACGCGTTGGCCTGCGACGGTGTTTGGGAGGGCTGCCAAGAACGGGTAGATCCACCCTCGAACGGCTCGATAAGCGATAAGCAGGGATAGCGAGAGCGGTCAATGCTGGCAATTGGACGAGCCCCAGAAAAAAGTTGGGACCCCACTGCCAATTGCGCAGAGCTCGACTGAGAGCCTGGATGTCGACTTTCTTTGCGCCCGTCTCCGATTTGCAGCCAAACAAGAGTCTGATTCTCCAGCTCTTTTCTGACATCGCGAACCATTTTAATGACATTTGGGATTTTGAATACTCCAGCATGTACAACAGATACATTCCCCCACCAAAAGCAAAGGCGTCGCGCCCATCTGACATACCTGTGCGACCACCGCCCGTCTACCGAGATCCAGAGCCAGAGCCACTGCCGCAATGGTCGGAATATGCAGAGCCTGCCCCTGTGCCAGTACAGACGTCGTCATGGCTTCAACCATACGCCAAGCGCATCGACGCTACAGCACAGCCAACCAAGATTGTATTCGGCGATGACGAGCCCCCAGCTCCCAGCGCGCCAAGCTCGGGCCCAGTAGACGACATACCCAAAGTAGCTACCGAAGAGGAGGAAAAGACACCCAAGAAGTCAAAGAGCAAAAAGAACAAAAAGTCCAAGGGCGACGAGGGGGGGGTAGAGGAAAAGCCCAAGAAGCGGAGGAGGGTAGAGGAGGAAGAGCAAGAAGACAAAGAGGAGGACACTCCAGGTGTCGCCGAGGAAGCGGAGTCAACCGAGAATATCGCCAACGAAGAACAACAAGACAAGCGGAAACCAAAACGAGAAAAGAAGAAGAAGCCAAAAGCCGAGGAACCAGAAGAAGACGATGATGCGGTTCGGAGCAGGCATAAATCCGTGTTTGAGAAGGTCGCAAAAGCTCTCCAGGCGCAGGCTCCTGAAGATGACGAGGACAAGATGGATGTCGATGGTGCCGAGCAAGAGCAAGAGGAGGAGCCAGTCGTGGAGCACGGCCTCGAGCCGATCCCTCAGCCAGCACCAGTCGCTTTTGACGAGTCGAAATTGACGTACGAAACATTGCCGCAATGGATTGCCTCGCCAATTCGAGTTACAGAAAGTACGACGAAATCGTTTGAGGAGTTGAAGATTGCTGCCGAGCCAGCCAAGGTTCTTCAGTCCAAGGGGTTCAAGGAGGCTTTCGCGGTGCAGACTGCCGTGTTGCCGTTACTGTTGCCAAATCCCGACAGACAAGGAGATGTGGTGGTGGCTGCTCCTACTGGTTCTGGAAAGACGTTGTCATATGTTTTGCCGATGATTCAGGACATTAGCTATGGCCGGATCACGAATCTCAGAGCGTTGATTGTGCTGCCGACTAGAGATCTTGTTCAGCAGGTACAGCAAACGTGTGAGGCATGCGCTGCTGCTTTTGCTTCAAATGGCGGGAAACGAGTCAAGATTGGGACAGCTGTGGGTAACAAGGTGTTCAAGGAGGAGCAATCGGCGATTGTGGAAAAGAAGGCGAGATATGGCACGGCGGAAGATTCCCACTCGATGGAGGCGTTGTCAAGTTGGACTGCTAGCGAAAATATCAACCCTGAGGACTATGCCTCCAAGGTTGATGTGCTTATCTGCACGCCTGGTCGTCTGGTGGAGCATATCAAGCAGACACCGGGATTTACACTGGACTACGTTCGTTGGTTAGTGGTCGATGAAGCCGACAAGCTGCTGGCGCAGGACTTTCAGCAGTGGCTGAATTTGGTATTGGACAAGCTGAGCGTGGAACGAAGACCATCACGGCGGGTGTTCCCAAAGTCCAACAAGAAGGGTGTGCGAAAGGTCATACTGAGTGCCACCATGACGCACGATATCAGCATGTTGAATTTGCTGAAGCTTTCAAGGCCAAAACTGGTTGTGCTGGAAGGCACCAAGGCTGGCGATCAGTCGTTGCCGCCTCTGCTCAAGGAGTATGCCATCAAGGTCCGCGAGCCAAGTCTTAAGCCGCTGTACTTGGTCGACTTGCTTCAGAGCGAGCTTTTGGCCGCTGTGCCCCTGGTTGAGAAAGTTGCGGAGGAAGAGACAGCATCTGCATCTGAGAGCAGTGACTCGGATTCTTCTTCGGAATCAGATTCCTCTTCAGGCTCAGACTCAGACTCTGATTCTGAGTCTGATTCTGATTCTGATTCCAACTCTGGCTCTGACTCTGGTTCTGACTCTGGTTCCAGCTCTTCCGACTCTGATTCATCCTCGGAGTCTGAAGCTGATGAGCCAAAACCAAAAGCCAAGGTACCGGCTACCAAGGGCAAATTCGCCAGCTCTGCCCTCATCTTCACCAAATCCAACGAAGCCGCTCTCCGGCTTTCTCGCCTCTTGGCCATTTTGGTACCTGGATTGGCGCATCTCATTGGCACCCTCACCTCAACCACCAAAACCATCCGTCGCACGCACACCTTACGAGCCTTCACGCAGGCCAAGCTCCGCATTCTTGTCGCCTCCGACATCGCCTCGCGTGGTCTCGATCTACCAAACCTGGAGCACGTCATCAACTACGACCTCCCCATCAGCGAAACAGCCTACGTCCACCGCGTGGGTAGGACGGCCCGTGCTGGCAGGGCAGGTGCGGCTTGGACATTGTTGGAGCATTCCGAGGCTAGACGGTTCTGGAGGGATTTTGCTGGTGAAGGAGAGGGGGCTTCCACGAATATCTTGCGCACCACGCCGGTTGAGAGGGTCCGTCTGGACAAAAAGGAGGAGAAGGGGGTTGGGGAGAAGGAGGAGGGTGCCAAGGTGGAGGATTTCAGTGAGGAGAGGGTGCAGGCTTATGAGAGGGCTTTGGCGCAGTTGCAGCAGGAGGCTACGTTTTCGAGGGGGAAGAAGATGAGGAAGGAGGGGAGGTGACATTAGTTGAAGTATATCGTGATGGGCTGTCAACGGCAGCAATGGGTGAAAGAAGATCTAATGCCAGCCTTGCATAACTTGTACAAACCTAATTCTGCACTGTCCAAAGCCTTGGAGGGTAGTTGCAATGGTTGTACATAGATGATAAGTCTAGATTCTAGAGCATTCCAATCATGGAAGGACGACCGGTGGTCGACGAAACGACCGAAACGTAACATTGTGGTATCTGTACGTAATGAGACGTCCCGGGACATCTGCCGCATTCGCCGGCTCAACGGCCCCACTTCACGGCGCCGGCCCGACAAACCCTCCGGTCAAGCGCTGAAAAGGGACATGGGGTCAAGGAGCAGTATGAGTGAATGAAGATTCTCCGGTCTCAGATATGCTAGTTTTATGCTGCACGCAGCCTTCTGCTAATCTCGAACAATGAATTTCAGGCTTTGCTCTTTGATGCCAAGACACCCTCTTGGCAATTAGCTAATCAGATACCGATCTGGTCTTGTGAGCGGAGATGATCTGATTGGCCAAAGCTCGCCCAAGCTCGGGCGTCGCATCAGTGGACAGGGGTCTGTGGGCGCTGTCAAGAAGATGTGAACAGCGTAGCCACTTTGGATTTTGGAACAGATTGATAGAACAAGAAACACCAGATCCCAGAAACGAAGAAGGAAGGTCATCAGACTCTTCCTCAGTTGAGGCCACATCTATAACTTTTGCTCCATTTTCTTTGCGATATCTCCTGTCGCCTGCCGCTTGCTTGCCATTGACTCTTGCGTAGCGGTGCATTCATTCTACCTATTCATCCACAGCAAGCTCCAAATTGGCGGGGAACTCGAACAAGTACCTTTTGGGTGACAGCTGGCTGGAGCTCTACTTTCCCACCTAACACCAGCACCACCAACACCAACACCAACATAACAACACCGACTCGATTGTTGTTTCGGCGACACACACACGCACACACTCGCCCACCATGGCGCGGCCAACATTATCGCCGTTGTCAATATTATTATCTGCCATCTTCCTCTTCTCCTCCCATGTCTTTGCCGTTTCCGCTGTCCTGGGCGTCGATCTGGGCACAGAATACATCAAGGCCGCCCTGGTAAAGCCGGGTATTCCCCTCGAGATTGTCCTGACAAAAGACTCGAGAAGAAAAGAAATCTCGGCCGTCACCTTCAAGCCCTCTCAAAATGGCCCCAAGAAGGGCACCTACCCCGAGCGCGCCTATGGCTCTGATGCCATGGCCCTTGCCCCGCGATTCCCTGGCGATTCGTTCCCAAACCTCAAGCCCCTCCTCGGTCTCCCCGTCGATGCCGCCCAGGTGAAGGAATATGCAAAGCGCCACCCAGCTCTTCAATTGGTTGCCCACAAGGTCAAGGGAACCGCCGCCTTCAAGAGCGCCGGCGCATTTACACAGGAAGAGGAGGCATGGCTAGTGGAGGAACTGCTGGCTATGGAGCTCCAGGCTATCCGCGCCAACGCTGAGGAACTCGCTGGAAAGGGAAGCTCTGTCCGCTCTGTCGTCTTCAGCATTCCCCCCTTCTATACCATCGAGGAGAAGCGCGCCATCGAGTTGGCCGCTGACCTCGCTGGTCTCAAGGTCCTGTCGCTCATCACCGAGGGTCTGGCTGTGGGTCTCAACTATGCCACCAGCAGACAGTTCCCCAATGTCAACGAGGGAGGAAAGCCCGAGCACCACATGGTATTCGATATGGGTGCTGGCTCCACCACAGCTACTGTGCTCAAGTTCCAGAGCAGGACGGTCAAGGACATTGGCAAGTTTAACAAGACTGTTCAGGAAGTCCAGGTTCTTGGCAGTGGTTGGGACCGCACCCTTGGTGGTGATGCGCTCAACTACTTGATTGTTGATGACATGATCTCCAAGTTTGTCGAGTCTCCCAAGGCTCAGAAGGCTTCCGTGACGGCTGAGGGCGTCATTGCCCACGGCCGCGCCATCGCCAAGCTGACCACGTCTGCCGAAAAGGTCAGGCACGTTCTCAGTGCCAACCAGGTTACCGGTACCAGCTTCGAGGGTCTCTACGATGATATCGACTTCAAGTACAAGCTTACCCGCGCCGATTTCGAGGAGATGGCTTCGTCTCAGATTGAAAGAGTCAGCATCGCCGTTCAGAACGCGCTTACTGCTGCCGGACTTGAGGTCAAGGATCTTGACTCTGTCATTCTTCACGGCGGTGCTACCCGCACTCCTTTTGTTCAGAAGCAGCTCGAGAAGGCCCTTGGCGGTTCGGACAAGCTCCGCACCAACGTCAACTCTGATGAGGCTGCTGTTTTCGGTGCTGGCTTCAGAGCTGCCGAGATCAGCCCCAGCTTCCGTGTCAAGGAGATTCGCATCTCCGAGGCTGCTGTGTACCCTGCCGGCATGAGGTGGAAAACTGACGAGGGCAAGCCCAAGCACCAGCGCCTTTGGACCGCCAGCTCGTACTTTGGCGCCCCTGCCAAGGAGCTCACCTTTACCAACAAGGAGGACTTTTCCGTCAACTTTTACCAGGCTCTTGAGTCTGCCGAGGCTGACACCAAGGTCTTGGCCACTCAGAACTTGACTGCCACTGTCGCCGAGCTTGTTGAAAAGCACAAGTGCGACAAGGCCGACGTCAAGGTCAAGGTCGGCGTCCGTCTCACCAACGAGGACGGTGAGGTGGACGTGACCAAGGTCACTGTCGAGTGCGAGACCGAGACCGCCGAGAAGGCCGGTATCGTCGATGGCGTCAAGAACCTGTTTGGTTTCGGAAAGAAGGAACAGAAGCCACTGGAAGGTGATTCCGAGAGCGAGTCTGCGGACGCGTCGTCGTCCCCGACCGATTCATCCTCGAGCACCACTGCCTCGTCTTCTGCCGCCTCTTCTGCCGCCTCTTCTGCCTCTGCCTCTGCCTCTGCCTCTGCTTCTGCCGACGGAAAGCCTGCCGAACCGAAAAGGGAACTAATTGTTATCCCAGTCAAATTTACTCTTGAGAAGTCTGGCATTCCCCAGCTCTCCAAGGCGGATCTTACTGCCATCAAGGACCGTCTCAAGGCTTTCCAGGCGTCTGATCGCGCTCGGAGACAGCGCGAGGAGGCGCTGAACCAGCTCGAGTCGTACACCTACAAGGTCCGGGACATTGTTGAGAATGAGGACTTTGTCCGCGTCTCGACCGCCGAGGAGCGGGCCAAGATTGAGAAGCAAAACAGCGAGGATAGTGACTGGCTGTATGGCGATGGTGCCGATGCCACCGAGAAGGTGCTCAAGCAGCGCCTGACCAACCTCCAGAAGCTTGTCACGCCTGTTCAGCAGAGGATCGAAGAGTTGGCCAAGAGACCTGAGCTTATCAAGGATCTCAAGGACGCCCTCAACAGCACCCAGCACTTTGTTGCTGACATCAAGAAGCAGATTGCTGACCACGAGGCGTTCCTTTCTGCCCAGGCTTCAGCCTCCGCCTCCTCATCCACCACCAGCACCGAGAGCTCGACCGTCACCGAAGCCCCTGCCTCGTCTGCCGACGACTTTGACGGCCTTGAGGATGAACCCAGCAGCTCTACCAAGACTGCCACGAGCATGGAGGACCTCAACAAGGACCGCGGTCCTGTTCCCCCTGTCTATGAACTGGCGGACCTGAAGGAAAGCGAGGAGCTTTATATCACCATCTCTGCCTGGCTCGAGGAGAAGCTCATCGCCCAGGAGAAGCTCGGCGAGACGGACGACCCCGTCCTGTTGGTCAAGGACCTCGTCGACCGGAGAGAGAAGCTCGACAAGGCGGGCATGGATCTCGCCATGAAGGGCGTCCGCAACTTCGAGAAGCGTGAGAAGGCCAAGAAGGCCAAGACGAAGAGCAAGACCAAGACGGCCAAGGCCAAGTCGACGTCGACGCAGAAGAACGGGAAGCCGGCGGCGCCGACTCTCAAGCTGCAGCCCGGTAAGGACGGGAAGATGCCGAGCCAGGAGGAGCTGAACGAGATGCTCAAGGAGTTCTTGGACAAGCAGCAGTTGGAGAATGAGAATCAGCAGGAGGCCAAGGAACCAGTCTTTGAGGATCCAGTGGAAAAGAAGGAGGAGGGGGGACATGATGAACTATAGAGGAGGGCGTCAAAAATATATGCATCATTCAGTTGTTTTGGGGGTTTACATGGATGGATGGAGTTTTGGCTGGGAGGTGCGAATTGCAAAGAAGACATGTATAAATGTTGAATGTGTACAGATGGACAAATCGAGCTAGATCTTTACATGCTTTTTGATGTTTTGATGTTGAGGATTGGTGAATTAGACCCTCTCCGCCCCGGCCCAGGGGTCATGATGGGAGACTTCGACCCTTGGTCCACCACGGCTGTTATTGTCGTCTGGTTGTGTTTGCGTCTGGGCTGAGCTTGAGGTCCCTCCATAGCCATTGCCATTTTCGTGACCACCCTGCTCCTCCTCCTCCACTCCCCCGTCAATATACCTCCCTTCCTCACTGTGACCCCTCCCCCCCGTCAAAAGCGGCCGTCTCCCCTGCCCTTCATCGTCCTGTCCAGTAAAAATCTCCACCACCCTCCCCAACCACACCTTTTTCCCTTGCCCCCCCCTCCGCTGTGTTTTAAACACCACCAGTGAAAGAAGCTGAACAACCCCCGCTACCACAACAACACCCAGCTCCACCCCGGTCGTTTTGTTCAGGGCGTCTTCCCACGGTCCAGCGCAGGGTGTGTGCCGGTTGAACTGCTTCTCGCAGCTGGAAACATCGCCGTTGTTGCCGCTCGAGGGAAAAGGCCAGGCCATGTCCTTGGTTGATTTGAAGCCGCAGCAGGAGAGGGAGTCTTGAATCGTGCGGATGGGGGTGGCGGAGTGGGATGTCCAGAGGGATCGCCAGGTTGTTTGGAGGGCGCAGGGGAGATAGGGGGATGTGAGGGTGGCGCCGAACAGGGTGGACAAGATGATGGTGAGGAGGAGTTGGAGAGCGTTGGATAAAAGGGGGGGGAGGGGTTTGCGGGGGTGGGAGGAGGAGAAGAAGGTTAGGGAGGTGGTGAGAAGGGAGAGGAGGGGGAGGAGGATGGTGAGGATTGTGAGGGTGGGGGAGAGGGGGAGGGAGAGGGTGGTGCTTGTGTGGTGTTGGTAGCTGGGATAAAGGTTAGTGATGGCGAGGGGAAAGGGGAAACGGGGGGACAGACATGGCGAGGCCGGTTAGGGTGATGATTAGCTGGGAAAAGGGTTAGCATTGGGGTGATTAAAGGTCAGGGTGGTGGCATACCAGGACGTAGAGGGCGAGGAGGAGGACCATGGCTGCGTTGAGGGGCGCCGAAGCAGCACGTCTGGTGCAGTTTAACTCGCGATCAAAATGGTCAATATGAAGTCGAAGTGACAAGTTCAGGGACAAGAAAGGAAGAAGAACATTTGTTTTGCTTGTCGTCCAGAATTATAATCTGAAGTTTGTCGGACAGCTGCACCACGACGTCAACAGCCGGATTTTACCCCGCCCGAGGCCTACCGCAGCAAAAGCCTCCAATCCCAACGTTTTGAGCCTCGCAAAGAGGCATACTATCGCCCGCAACATGATCTGGCTGCCTTTCACTGGGCGGATCATGTGCTGTCCTGTCCAGATTGGCTGTCCACCTACTCATATTCACACGCCCAACGAATGAGCACCGTAGAGAAATGTGACCACAAGGGCACCCCTATACAAAGAGCAGCAGCGCCAACTCAAACACCCGCGGCCAGTCAACAGCCGCAGCTGTGTTGGTGATTTTCGCTTCCAGACTGCCGGGTCAGCCAATGCTGCCTCCGCCCCCAACGGGCATCGCTAAGGGCTTCACAATATGCAGCGAACCGCTGATCTGGAGGGCCCAACATGTTGCAAGTTCGAAACCAGCCCAAAAGAAAAGCCCTAGGGGGCTAGAAATGGACACATTTTACCATGATTGAGGCGTATAGATTGATCAGGCACCGGACCTCTGTTTCCGTGATGATATCCATTATTGTTCTCAGCATTGCCTCCTGTGCTCAGTAATTTTATTTGTAAATCATCCAAGAAAATGGCCCGGAATAAACCCCGTCTGCATGTAGCATTGTATGCCAGAGGAGGTGCTGCCAGGATGCCAGGAGGCGAAGACAGGTGAGTTGCCTATCCCACGCTCGGGAGGTCTCGTGCTAACAGTGTAATGCCTCCAGATATCACTGGGCCCTGATCACCGGCCCCAAGCGAGAAGCCGATGCTTCTCGCGGGAAACGATACCATGCCAAAGAGCCACGACCAGGAGTGTGGGAGTACAGCGAACAAAACACTGGCACCGCATCCACCCTCATGATCCTGGTCCGTATCCGTACCGCCAAAGTCAAGAACATGGTCCGGCTCGAACAGGTACTGCGGAGTGTACCCATTAGGGTTGGGCAGCCGGGTTGGAACTGCGTGGAGTGGGTCCGAGAGGCGTTGTCGGCGCTGGCCGGAGACGGGAAGGCCCTCGGGACTTCCAGGATTGACTGGCAGACTGTGCGGGTCACGGCGATGCGGTATGTGCGGCAAAAGGCAGCTGAGCACCGGTTTGATGGCAGAGCCAGGCCAGGCCAGTTCAATCCCCGGGTGGTGCCGACTTTTGACCTGTTGGCCGGAAGGGAGGTGATCCAGTAATGTGTAGACTAGATGTCAACTCCGAACTCGCCAAAGTAGCGCCGGCGCTGCTTTTCCATCTCCAACTCGTGCGGAAACGGTTCCAAGAATTGGTCAACATAATCTCTCCAGAAAGCCAGCCGTGGGGTGATGTGCCAAGTTGATGTGTACTCCCAGTAAGGCGGCATCCATCCCGCCATTTCCCAGTCGATAATCGCCGTGAGGGTGTCTCCTTCGGCCATGATGTTGTTGGGGCTCAAATCGTTGTGTGTAAAGACCGGTTTCTGCGACTCTGATGAGCTGTTATACTGAGCAACTAGCTCCCTCAAGCCGGGGAGTTTTCCCTCGAGGTCATCGTCAATTTCATCAGCGCTGCCAATACCACCACAGAGCTTTCGATGGAAATCTTCAATAGTCTTAAAAGGCCCCCAGTACGGACCGTCAGGAAGGCGACCATCGCAGATAGGACCACCATCCACGTTCGCAACCCCCGTGATATTCTCTGGAGGCGATAGCCGTCGAAGCTCGCTAGCCATGGTTCGCAACTGATCAAGAATGCGAGTCCTAGATTCTTCCGACCGCTCGCTCCAGTCCTCTGAGAGGATGCGTCCTGGTACTCTTTCCATCAAAATATACACCCTCTCGCCGTGCTCAAAACTGCAGTAGACCTTGGGGACTGGAATCGATGTGTTTTCGGCCACAAAGCGCATCGCGTTGGCCTCAGCCAGCGTCGTGAACGCCCCCGCCTTGATGCACCGCTTTGATGACACGCAAACAATGCCCCAGGGCGATTTTCGCAGACGGCGCATCCATCCGATAGAATTCAGTCGAAATAAAAAGAGCGTGATAAATCGATTGTAAGCCGTGTCGTTGATTGGTTTCGACTCCATGGCAACCTCTGGTGTGACGCGTGCTGATGTTTAAGTGAGAAGATGAGTTCCAAGGCCGAGCGTGTCGCGACCAACACACCGAGATGGACAGGCGGTGCCAGACATCACGCGTTTCTTTTTCGTCGCTAACTCTCTTTGACAAAAAAAGGACACCGAGGAACAGTGAAGAGATGGACGAAGCGATTCGAGATAAACAAAATATATTTGACGTCTTCTTTGGATGTCAATCGATGAACGATCTTGGAGCTGGTGGCAACGGAACAGGTGATGGAACTGATGGAGCTTTGGGGTTAGGGTTCCTACTTGTTGTCTCACTCACCAACACTTCAGGACCCACCATCAAAAGGGGTCACGAGATATGATATGTTGATGCAGATTAAACTTTTACATGTTTACGCCTGCTCGCTACGCCACCATTATTCTATCCCGAGCTCATATTTCCACGCACGTATCTTCCCCTCTCGCATAGCCCATATTGAGTCCTCAAGCTCCTTCTGTCTCACCTCAATCCCCTTGGCAAGATGAGCCAGTACTTTGGAGGCAAATTCATCAGATTTCCCTTCCTTCTTTTCTATATTTTTGTATATTTTACCAGCAAAACCAAAGATCTCGATAAACGATCCAGCCCTCGCGGGGCTCTTCGTTGGTGGGGATGGGTCAGGAAGATTGACACTGGCCGGTTGTGAATAGTAAACGCCGGCAGCATGTGGATGGTAGAAGCCGTGGAGCTCTGGGTTGTAGAAGCTTGTACGATCCGGTTGAGAGCCGCTTGCCGATTCAGGTCCAGAACTTTCGGCGCCACTGCCCCCGGAACTCAGTGATGTTGGCACACTAGGGCTGAGCGAAACCCTGTGTTCGTTGAAGGGTCGTGTCGGTGATGTCGAAGCGGCGCCGTTTACCTCGCTGCTCCCCGTGAATAGCTTCTCCAAAGTGCGCCCTACTCTTGCGGGCAAATCCTCCATGTTGGCGAGGTATCTTTCAATGGCGTCTTTGGTGGAGTCTTTGACACAGTGCCTGTAGTCGCTTTGGTTGCTGTCCAAATATCGACGAAGATCGCTTCTCATGGACTGAATCTCACGATCCCTGATATCTACATATCGAGTCGTTAGATAACGCTGTATGTCTTTGCCAGATGAATCCCAAAGTATTTACCTTGAAGGTTCTGGAGCTGCGCAACGGGCGTCAGGATAGCAACGCTTTCTTTACTTCCTGTCCATATGGCCAACTTCAGATGCTTTCTGAAATGATGCTCCCAGCCAAACCAAAGGAACATGTTGGCAAGCTCAGCGCTGCACACGCAGGTGTCGCCATCGTAGACCTCGCACTCCCGAGTGAGACCCCAAGGCCGACCGTCTCTCGAAATCGGGTCAAACTTGCAAGCTATGACATCGCGACGTTCATCTGGTCCACGCTTGCGGCTGAAGATCTGTAAGGGCAGGGTGGCGGGGTCGGGAGGGCATTCGCACACCCAAGCGCACTTGCAAAAGGGAACTAGATGTTCAAACGTGCTGGGAATATTCCCTGTTGAAGCAAGATCACGGAGAAAGCCCCTGAAGTCGCTGAGACTAACACCTGGTGTCAGGGATGTTGGATGGGGAAGTTCGCCCTGTCTCTGGAAGCTTATCTCTTCTGGTCTCCGCCCGAGGTCGACTTCGAGATAAACTATGCGCCGCTTGAGGAAAGCGCTGCGTTTCTTGACGCGCGTGACCTCATCGGGAGACCAGAAGATGAGGCGCTCGGTATGGTTGTCGTCATGTCGGAAGAGGAGTCTGCTGCATACGGGAGCGGTCATTTCTATCTATGACACTGTCAAAACGATCGCGAGAAAATGGCCAGAGCGACATGATGTGTTATCTGTTGGTCATTACAGGATTCCAGGGGGTCGAATCGATGCTTTTTGTTCACCCACACTACCTAAGTAGGTACCTATGTGCCTCACAGCTTGGAAGGGCCAGAGCAGACCAAAGTCCAGAGGACTCCCCCTCCCTCCGATACCGTGCATATTTGGTTTTGGTGGGGGTTCCTTTCTCGGTGTGGGCAGCGGCACCAGCCCCCGCCTTCTTCATCCCGTTCTGATCCGGAGCTCTTCAAGGAGGGAAATGCGGGCAAGCAGTGGTCGCCTTAAACTCGGTTGAAAGGAGACACCCACCCACCTCGTGGAAACGGAAATTGGTCAAAGCTGGACCGGTTTGGTTGCCGGCTGTGCTAATATTGTCATGAAGCCTCCGTCTCCTGGCCAATCAATCCCTTATCGCAACTATCACACCTCAAGCCACCGCTTTGCCGCCCGCTGCATCGTATTTTGACGCCTTCACACCCCGGGTCCCGATCCGGGGTTGGGAAGACTTTTGCACAAGGCTCGAGCTGGCTGTGCTCTCGTCTGCCGCGTCACTGGGTTTCTGAGAAGGGTGACATCTTTGCTCTGGCCGGTTTGCTTGACTCGGACTGTCATCATGTCCAAATCCCATTAAATTGCGGCCCTCTTCTTACCCTCGTTTGCTGTTGTTCATATGCGCTGACATTCTAGACGGGCAGCGACCTGATTCACATGGAAAGGATGACAGCTCCAATCTTGACGCGTGCCGATGTCACTTTTGATGTAAGTTGCTGTGCCAGAGCATAAACCGCCTTGAGACTGGAAGCTGATCAGGATATCGAATCGACTCAAACAGAAAGCTGACATCGCTTGGCTGATGGTATGCTCAGCTCTTGTTTTTCTTATGGTTATATCGATCTCTATGGTTTACTCTGGGCTTGGAAGCCGGTTGTTCGCCATCACCTTGTTCAAACAGCCCCTGCTCACTGGTGCTATGATATCTTTCCAGGTACGGCAATTCCAATTTGTTCCCCACCTCACAGGGCGTCTGACCTCGACACATTCAGTGGTACTTATGGGGTTACGCCTTGACATTTACTCCTGGAAACATTTGGTTCGGCAGCCTGTCAACGGCAAATGGTCTACAGATGTCGCCGAGCGATGTCTACTCAACCAACCAAGGGTCATCAGTCACGACCAGTGAAGGGCCACCCGTCCAGCATCTTCCAGAGCTAGCCTTTGCCCTCTTTCAGGGCATGTTTGCAGCTTTTACGTAGGCCCTCGCCATCGCCCGTTCATGACCTGATACTTGCTAACCCTAAACCAGTGCTGCTCTCATCTGCGCAGGCACAATGCAAAAGATGCACTCAGCAAGGTACCTACTTTTCGTCAGTGTATGGTCAGCTGTAATCTACAGTCCAATTGCTCGGTGGTCTTGGTACAGCGAGGGCTGGTCTCACCAACTGGGCAGTATGGACTTTGCTGGCGGCACCCCAGTGCACATAGCGAGCGGCGCCGCTGTTGCCGCCATGTCTATTTTTTACTTCTTTGAGTCCAATGGGTGGCAAAGGGCCTACTTGCACCTATCAAGTGTTACGAAAAAACGTATCAATGAAAACCTCCCATGGGCAGCGGCCATGTGGGTCAAAAGCTGGTTGTTCAACACCTCACCATGGCTCCCAAAGTACAAACAGGCCGACATCATTCCAGGAAGGAGTTACGAAGTATACGACGTCAACCAAGCAATCTTTGGGACCGGGTTACTTTGGTTTGGCTGGTATGTAGTTGTCCCCCAGAGCTCTTCTTTGCGGAGTCCAAAGCTTCCCCTCGTCAGACCCTATCTGATACACTCAACAGGTTCGGTTTCAATGGGGGTTCAGCACTTGGGGCAAACAGCCGAGCCGTATCTGCATGCTTGGCCACGCACGTGGCAGCTTGCGCTGGCGGTACTACCACTGTGTTCCTTCACTGGGTTCTAAAACAGATATACATGAGGAGCGCCGATTATGAGCCGCGCGAGTTTAGGAGGCTCACTGCCGTGCACTTCTGCGATGGGGCTATCGCTGGGCTTGTAGCCATCACGCCAGGAAGCGGTTATGTTAGTGGCGAATCTTAAGGCTTTGACAATCTTGTATTAAGCTAACAATGCCAGGTTCCTGCTTCTACGTCGGCCATATTCGGCATTGTCTCAAGTGCTGTCGTGTACATGTTGAAACCCCTCACTTCTGAATATCTCCCGGATGACGAGCTCAAAGTGTTTCTCATACACACCGTTAGTGGTTTCATCGGAATGTTTCTGACTGGGTGTTTTGCGAGGTAGGAGAAGAATCAGTCACCTACACCGGATAAGACTTGTATCTGACAGCTATGCAGTCAAGAGGTTGTTGAATCGGACGGCTTCTCCGTATTGACGACAGCATCGGTGTCTGAACGTCTCGGGTAAGCTTTATGGCCAGCGTAGAGACGACACAGCTACTGACAGTTACTAGAAATCAAATGAAGGATGCCTTCGCCGGGCTTGGCTACAGCTTCTCCGGCACCATTATAATTCTAATGATCGGCAGATCTATCATGTTCGCAGTGAAATGGATGCGATCAGATGAGACAGAGAAACGGGCTGCTAAAGCTTGGAGCCAGGCTAACATCTTCAAGTTTGGAAAGGATGGAAATCCGGCAATCCAAGACCGCCTGCGGGCACGGGAGCGTCACACATGGGAAGATGATACGATAGAAGGTGGCATTCCCCTCAGTACACTTGACAACGATCGTGGCCCATCACCAAGGCTGTGGAACTGAATGGAGTGAGCCGAAAGTTGGAGATTGGGCAGAGTGCAGAAATTGGTTCGGCGAATGATGATTCTAAGCAGATAAAGGCGTTTAATGTATAATTAGAAATGGAGGTCATTGTTTGAATCAAAATTCTTGAATGACTCACGAGAGACGACCACGATCTGAGCATCATTTTGAGACGGACTTTAGATCCCTCGTGTAATTAGTCCCTGTATATCGCTGACTCATGTTCTTTTCGGGAAATTGGAATTTTGGCAGAGCGGCCGCCACTCCAACCCCCTAAATCGAACATGAATGCGTGATGACTCCCGTGGAAACAAGCCACAAAACCGTATCAAGCCAAAGTTGGCGCAAGGCGTCGATGTCCGGCTGCGTTGACCGCGAACCACAGTGGCGGCTCAGCTATCAATAGTACCTAAGGTAAGTACATCACCACAGTTCCCACGAATCAAGATCCACTTCGACACGCCGGTTATGTTTCTCTCTTATCGTCTTCACGGTCGTAGGTATGCACCCCTCTTCGGGATGATCTTGGCTACCAGGTCAGTTCCAGAGGGGGGGTACCTTATGATCTACCGTAGTATAAATTGAGGCCTTGTCATATCTTAGTACTGTTATATCAGTGTGCTTCGCTTGTCTTGAATCCAAGAAGACCATTCACAAACCCAATTTATTCCCAAACATTTCAGCTTACTACAATTACCACCCATCAGCAAGGTACTCAAAATGCAATGTTTTCTGTGCGAAAAGCCCTCCAGCCCCCATCATGGGAAGCCCATAGGTCGGCGGTGCATCAAATGCAACGACTCCTATTGTATTTCTTGCACTATTGACGATTGCCGAAACATTCCCTGTTCTGAGCATCACTCATGTTGGAACGAGCACATCGAGCAATTCACAAATGAGAAGCTCAAAGCTCTTCATCAACCAGCCAACCCGACAGCAGAAATGTTCATCAAGGCCATCACCTGTTCCGACCTTGATGATGCTCAAATCAAGGCACTCCACGGCCACGATAAGCTTGCGCGCTGGTTTAGCGTCAAGAAGGGAAAAGAAGAAGATGACAAGCCGGAACTCTGGCTGTACGACCGGTTTCGACGTCTTTGCGACCCTCACCAAACTGGAAACAGGATCACGGGGAACCATTATCCGAGCATCGTGTCGTTCATTGGAAATACATATGCTGGGAAGTCCACAGTCGCTAGGGCAATGCTTCTACTCGGACTAGCCGAGCAGAGAGCAGGAGACTCCTCGGGCGCTTTGGGTCGAGAGAACGCGTTGTACAACCTGTTACAAAGCGTCTTGGACCGCCCTGAGAAGCACGAGTTGCCAGTCTCACAGGGCGGCGACGATCCCGCTACCTTTGGAGTCCACCTTTATCGCAACAACATCACCACTCAACCAGAGCCGTCGCCAGATCCTCAATACCCCCTACTTTTAGCTGACTGTGAAGGGTTCACAGCCGATTTTGCTCTCACCAACGCTGAGAAGGCCGTCCCGGACACAGAAGATCCTGACGAGCAGGTGGAAACGAGAACCATCAAGGCCGACGACTACGGCAGAGGCAAAGCAGGGATTGACCTGTTTTACGCCCGGTTTCTCTACGCTGTCAGTGACGTTGTTGTGTTTGTCACGCAGAATCCCAAAACCAAAGGACACGACTTTCCTCGGATCCTCGAGTGGGCTGCCGGAGCAATGCTCAAGACTTTCAACCAACCGTCTGGCAAGACATTGATCGTTGTTCGCAACAAGTACACCCCAGACAAAAAGGACAGCACGCCGGAGATGCTGAAACAAGAGTTTCTGGAGTCGCAGAGCCCAGCCCTGTGGAAGAGGACCGGAGTGATTGCCACTTTTGTCGAGCGCTTCAACGCGTCCACGAGCTTAGGGTTGATGATCAGGAGTAATAACGATTTGTATCGTCAGCTCTTCCGCAGCATTCACCTTTGCTACATCCCTGATAACAACCATGTCGACAACCATGGCAAGCCAGAGAAGCTTCTTGAGCATTTCGGAAACCTCAAGCGTATTCTTGATCGTGCGGTTGTCGAGGAGCGGGATATCAGAGCGGAGAGCTTGACCCGCTACAACGTCGCTGGGCTTTCTCTCTTTCTGTCCAACACATTTCGACATTTTTCCGAGTCGAGCACACCTCTCGACTTTTACAAGGCCACCTGTCGCGACAATCACACACCCACCAATCTCAGGGAACATATTGCCAACTTTCTGCGGCTGGCGTATGACCGTGAAAACAGGGTGAACAACACCCAGCTTGCTGGTATGGACCGCATGATTGAGAATGTCATCGCTTTGTCTCTCTTGATCCTCGCTCGGAGACGGGACTCTGCCACTTTTACCCCCGAGATCAAATTCGATCAGGACTTGAGGAAGTACTGGGATGGCGGGCTGGCCTTGTACCAGCTCTTGCATGAGCAGTGCTCTTACACCTTTCTGAACTCACAAGGCGCTCTGACTCCATATAGCTGTCAAGTCCGGGGGCACGGTGGCAAGCGAGGCAAACACCAACAGCACGTCCCTCCCCCGTCCGGTCCCGGCCACAAACACAACCTCCAGCCGGTACCGGGCGACTTTGTCCCCGGTCACGACTGGAACAGAGACGTCTGGCGCCAGCGCATACGAGCTCGGTTCTGCGAGTTATACCGCAAAGTGTACCGCTCCCCCCTTCCTCCCCACCAAGACAGCTACGAACCCCAACCCGCCGGACAGTTCCAACAACAACAACAACAACAACAACAACAACAACTCCAGCTCCGAGACCGCGAGTTCAACCATCACGGCAACCAACAAGTCGACACCTCCATCCTCAAACTCCGCCGCGAACTCACCCCCCAGAACAAACCCCTCTTCACCCAACTCCTCTCTACCAAAACCTGCCTCTCCTGCCTCCTCTCCTCCCCCGACCACGCCTTATCGTGCGGCCACGCCTTTTGCCCCCGCTGCATCCAAGAGCTCTCCACCCCCTCCCGCTGGAAAGCCGCCGCCTTCGAATTAGACTCTTGCATCCTCTGCGACGGCCAGGACGGGCACCAAACCATCCAGCTCAGACCCCGCTGCTCCGGCGTCCGCATCCTCACCCTCGACGGCGGCGGCGTCCGCGGCATCGTCGAGCTCGCCCTCGTCCAGGCGCTCGAGCAAGAAATCGGCCTGACAAACGTCCGACTGGCCGAGATGTTTGACCTCATCGTGGGGACCAGCACAGGAGGGATCGTTGCTCTCGCGCTGACCTTTCCGGGGAAGCTCCCTTCCGACCCTGCCGCCGTCGCTTCTTCCCCGTTGGCGAGGCGGGGTAGCGGGATCGATACCAGGATGCAGGACATGATCGCCTTTTTCAGCAAGATCTCCACCGCGACGTTTGAGAACTCGCGACTTGGGTGGCGGGCGCTGACGAGGGGGGCGATGGTTTTCAGGAGGGTGGAGAGTGTGTATAGCGATCGGCCCTTGCGGTCGGGGTTGGAGCAGTATTTTGGGGACAAGACGAGCCTTTTTGCGCCAACGTTCAACAGCGAGAGGGTGCTGGCTTCTGGTGCGCTTGGGTCGGGGGTGAGGGTTGCGGTGACGAGCACGAGGGATGATGGGGATACGGAGGTTGTGATTGGGAATTATAACAGGCCTTTGACTACCTCTGCCACTGACAGTGTTGGTGGTGGTAGCAGCAGATCTGGTTTTGAAAGGGAAGATGATTTGGAGAAGGATTTCAAAATCTGGGAGGCGGCTATGGCCACCGCGGCCGCGCCGTTTTATTTGCCAGTGTTCAAAAGAGAATGGGGGGTGGGGGGGCAGGAGTACATTGACGGGGCGGTTTACGCCAACTGTCCGGCACGAGTGGCGATGGATGAAAAGACAAAGATTTGGTCTCGGGAGAGTGGGGAGGGGAACGGGGTGGTGCTTGATGCGCTTGTGTCGCTCGGGACGGGGAAACAAGGCCCAAAATCGGACAAGATGCCTTTTGCGAGCAACTTCAGGGGGTTTACTGCCTTGCAAAAAATGATAAAACGGCAGCTGGACACGGAGAGATTATGGGAGGGGGTGGTGGAGGGCGCGGAGCGGTCGCAAAGGGGGAGGTTGATGAGGCTGAACCCGGAATTGAAGCCAAAGTATGTGCAGCTGTATCAGTGTGAGGAGGTGCCGAGGTTGTTGAAGGAAACAGGGGAGTGGGCGGGGGTTGGTGGGCAGGGGAGGGACAAGATCAAGAATGTGGCGAGGGTGTTGATGGCGGGCATGTTCTTTTTCGAGGTACCAGACTCTTATTCTCCAAGGTCTACTTTGTCTCATCAGCAGGCGTCAGGCGGACCGGATGGGAGGTTGCTTCGGGGAGCGGTGCGGTGTCGGTTGAGGCATCAGGCGCCAGCTGTGGGCGAGCTGCTGAGGAAGGTGACAAGGTTTTATCACACAGAGCTGACGACTGAGGAAGCAGCCGAGGAGGAAAAGAGCTTGGCATCGGCGGACAGACAATGGAGGACTCTGACTGACATCACCAGCGGGTCCGTCAATCCGAGGGATATGGTCAGAGTGAGGGAGTGCAATCCAGACGGAACGGGGATAGAACAGTTCAGGCTTGACTTTGAGTTGCGTGTCAGAGACAAGGCAGCTTTGCAGGCCATTGTGGTTGAATTCCAGGCCGACGACGAGAGTGACGCAAGGAGCATCAACCAGCAGGAAAATGAACGTGGCAGAGGGAAACGATTTGCGATTAGCGGGTTTCCTGTCACGCTCGCGGACCTGAATGCAAGGGGACAAAGGGTATGGCTACAGTGATGTACCAAGATGGATATTTATGTCAGATAAACATTCCCAAGATTACCCCTGAGAAAGTAAACAAAGTTCCAGAGATCAGAGAGCCACGAGAATGCATGGCAAAACAACTGCCCTCCTCAAATGTGCAAGACGAAGGCTTATCCCCAGGAAGCCTCGATTTCCGTGGCCTTGGGATGCATGACGGTACATGTGCCGCGGTTGATCTCCTCCCCATTCCCAGTAGACATCCACATCTGCTGTCCGCACCAGAGAATATTCTTGCGTCCCGCAGCGTCCAAAGTTAGTTCTCCTGTCACAGAGTTGACGCACCCCTTGACGAATGCGACCGAACCCCCGGCGTTGATCGAGTTCTGGATGGCATCCTTTGTGTTGACTTGTGGCCAAAGACCCCCATTCGAGTTTGTTGCTACATAGAGAGCATACGTGTAGGAGTAGGGCGGAATTCCCTTGGCCAGAACCACGCGTCCTTGGTCGTCGAGCTTGAAAAAGTATTTGTATTGTACCGACGTTGACGTGGATGTGGAAGGGGGTTGCCAAATCATCCCGCCCGACAAGGCGTTGAGCATGTTAGCATACATAGCGAGGGTCTGTCCACCGTAGTCAGTGGCCAACCCTCTAAATGCCTTTACCTGGGAAGGCGGTAAGCATGTTGCAGCGGGGAGCACTGTGGTTGTGGTCTGCGTGACTGTAACGGTGGTGTGGGCAGAAACTGTCTGAGTGACTTGGGTTGTGGCCGTTTCAAAGACTGTCTCGACATCGGTGGCGGCAGTGGTTTCGGTCAAAGAGACGTAGACGGTGTCGGTGACAGACAGTGTGGTTGGCACAGAGACGGTGATGGGGTCCGCTGTGTATGACACTGTCTCCGTGGCCGCGGATGGAGCTTCAGCCGTGACGGTTGTGGGTTCTACACCGGCACAGCTGCAAGCCTTCACGTAGGCCTCCCAAGATGGGCATTGTTCCGAGGCGTACTCTGGGATGGCGGATGGCTCAGAACCCGACAATGAAGAAGTAGGCTCGGGCTCGGGGGCCAGGAGGGTGTCGCCTCGTGCCTTGACTGGATAGGCAGCACCGGTGTTCGTTGCCGTGACGGTCTGTTGGGCTGTCTCGGTAACAACCACAGTCTCAGTGTTGGTGATGAGCTGAGTGTAAGTAGCATCTGTGACGGTGGTCTGAAGGGTGAAAAGTTCAGTTTTAGTCTCGGCGGTCGTGGTGACAGTCTCGGTGAAGAAGGCCGTGTGGACAAAGGTGTTGTGCTCAGTGGGCAACTGAGTGACGGTCTCGGTAACGGTGCTCTGGGCTGGCGTGACGGTCACAGCCAAGTTGGTAGAGCAATCTTGGAGTCCATCAAGACCCGAGGAGACGACGGCTGCAGCGCAGACGGACAGGTTAGCGTCTACTTCTCCAATATCTGCTGGCTAGCTCACCCTTGAGACACTTGTTGCTGCGACAGCATGCCGCTGCTGCGACTTGGAGCCAGGTGAGACCTGACAGCAAGATGGGGCCCTGCTTCATGGCGAATGAGTGACTGAAGTGAGTGTAGGCTGGAAAACGAGTGTGAGGTGACCACAAAGCAAAGTGTGAGGAAGGGAGGTCAAGGAATACGATACGAAATGATAATGGGTAATATCTGCTTGTCACCTTGTCCACCTCGGCGTGGAGCTTGAAGTTTGGCCTAGAATGCGATGACATGGTTGCCAGCGGCACCGAACGGTCTGGATCCTGCAGAACCGGGGCTCTCACGATGATCCATGATTGGTGTGTTGGCGTGAAAACCTGGAGAGATGCAGGGGGCAAGGATCGCCAGATTCGCCGCTAGCGATCTGAATCCCTGCAGTATAGGACAGTTTCCGAGATTTCACGTCTCTTTTGGGAAGTTTGGCACGTCGCCCCACCAGCTGAAGGTTCTCGATGGCGTCCTTAGGGTTTCTGCATGCGTTGTCAATGTTGTTCTTCGTTAATTTCCGTCCCTTGTTTACCTCCAGCAGCCAAGTGATGCTGGCTTGCGGCTCCGGGAGTATTGATTCAGTCGATGTCAGTGATATCAGTCAATAGCCACAATGAGATCTTATCTAATCAATCAGACAAACCACATGGTCGTACCTTCCCTCAAGAATTGATACAACACAGGGAAGGTGGGGGACAAATCTTTCAGAGCACCAACCAATAAAAATTATTTGTATTGTCTACCTCTAACTTCCAAGCACCAAACACCATCGAACATAAACCGAAAAATCAACCAGAAATCGGATCCAACAACCGTCAGCCGCAAAAAGAAGTATACACAACAACTTCACACTCCGATTAAAACATGGCAGCAATGACACCACCGACTACAGCCGCCGCGCCCCAGTTCATCACGCTGGACAGCTTGGCGGATCCAGCCGTCACGGGCTCAGAGGGCTGAGCCTGAGGAGGAACAAAGGTGGGGACCGGGTTGGTACCATTGTGGCCACCATGGGCTGGCTGGGTAGGGGCAGGGGCGAGGCCAGTGCCAGGAACATGGGGAAGGCCAGTGCCGGGAAGATGGGGAGCACCGGAGCCCGGAACGTGGGGAGCACCGGAGCCAGGAACATGAGGAGCGCCAGAACCGGGGACGTGGGGAGCACCAGTGCCCGGAACGTGAGGAACATCAGTGCCCGGAACGTTGGGGACACCAGCGCCTGGGGCCTGGGGCACACCAGTGGCGACGATGTGAGGCACAGTAGCCAAAGTTGTAGGCTGACCGGGGGCGAGTCCGGTAGGGAATGGAGAAGCGGTGCAGCTGCATCCAGGAACGGTGACGGGAGTGGGCAGCGGCTTGACTGGGGTGAGGGTGACGACGACAGGCGCCTCGGATGGGTTGGCAGCAGGGAAGGTGTAGGTGGCCGAGGTCTGAGGGCAGACGGAGGTGGTAGCTGTGATGACCTGGGTAACAACGGTGACGGAGCCGACAGGACACTTGGGAACTGAAGGAGGGCATGAGGTGATGGTCGAGGTCGAAGTCTCGGTGTATGTGATGGTCAGGAGGGGAGCAGCAGTGGTGGTGATGGGGAATGAACTGGTCTCCACGACCGAGGTCTCGGCGGCAGAGGTCTGGGTCGCAGTGATGGAGGGCTCAGCAACTGAGGTCTCGGCAACGGATTCGGTAGCGGTCTCGGTAGCGGTCTCGGTGGCAGACTCAGTAACAGTCTCGGTGGCCGACTCGGTAGCAGTCTCGGTGGCCGATTCGGTAGCAGTCTCAGTAGCCGACTCATACTCTGTCTCGCACTCGCTCTCTTCGGCCTCGGTAGCACTCTCGGTGGCAGACTCGGTGGCAGATTCAGTGATGGTGGCGGACTCTGTGATGGTGGTAGACTCCTCAGTGGTGGCAGTAGCTTCCTCAGTCGTGGTAGTAGCCTCCTCAGTCGTGGTGGCAGACTCTTCGGTAGTGGTGGAGGTCACCTCCTCTGTGATCGTAGCGGACTCGGTGGTAGTGGTCGAGGTCACTGGAGCTGGGCAGGCGCCGGTAACCGATGGGACAGCATCGACACCCGTACCAATAGCCACAAGAGCCTCAGCACCGCAATCTGCGGACTGAGCGAGATGGATGTTGCGGTTGTCTTGGTCGAACACGACGTAGGCAGCCCTGAGGAAGTTGGTACCAAGGACAGGGAAGCTGTCCTCATAAACTCCCAAAAGACAGGTGTCTGTGTCGGGCACACGAGACACAAAGTCGCCGAAAGGAACGCTGATGTCCTTGCCATCGAAGTTGAAGTTGACAGATCCACCCTCACCCTCAGTAGGGCAATCAACAACCAAAGTCCCGTCAGCGTTAGCCGTGGCCGAAGGGAACGCCGCAACAAACTGGCTGTAGATGGACGTGGGAAGGGCAGTGAGACTCGCGCCGCTGTCGATCACGAATGGCTGACCCGCTGCACCCTCCGGCTTAGCCCAGGCATCCACAACTGAGCCGTCGGCCTGTCTGACCGAGAGACCATCGAGGCGGATCCAGTATCTGGTATACCCATCAGGAGATTGCGCGGCAGGGACAATGGGGAGTTTAACCAGGTCCCCAATGAACTTGTTGGTGTCGATGCCACCGAAAATCACCGAACCGCTCTGGCTTGTAAGTCCCTTCAAATCCAAAGTCCAGGCCCGGCTGTTGATGTGTCCCTGTGTCTTGAGACTGTCGAGAACTAGGGGATACCCATTGGTCCAGCCTTGAAGGGATGGGCCGAGACCAAGAATGGCGTTCGTCGGTCCGGAACTGTCGTAGGCAACCCCAAAGATCTGTTGGGTAATCCTAGAGGCTACGGATATAGGTCAGCCAACTCGGTTTAAAACAACATCCATGATGCACAAACTTACATCCGATACCGATGTAATCGGACACGTATTGCCAGTTGACATAGCCACCATTGCGCAGAGACATCGAACCTTGCACCCCAAGATCGATGAGGGAGCTCGACATGGTGAACCTCTGCTGGCTCTGGCAGAAGGATGGGTTCGATGACGTGGAACATCTAGGGTTCGCGAAGAGTTCGGGTTGCGTGGTATCGATTTGTACAGGGACATTTTGGCCAGGCGTCCCGAACTTGACGTTGATGGTGTAGAATGTACCGGCCCGCTTTGCCGAGGATTCAGTGACCAGTTGTCTCTTCGAGTGTCTGCTGAAAAGCGAACCACCCTCTTGAGCAGTCAGAGAGTGACGGACTAGCCCAGATGGCTGAACCGAGGCATTGTCGGTTGCAAGAGCCGCAGCCGGAAGGAGGGCGAGGAGCGACAAGAGTTTGGAGGAAGGCATGGTGAAGTGGTATCAATGAATGACTGGGGCAGGCTGGGAAAGAGTGGAACGGACAGAAAGTGTCCTGGGTTCAAAGAATGAATGACAGTTGCCTGGCCTGAGAGAGAAGAGAGCAGCTTGCATTGGGGCTGGCCATGGTGTTTATAGTCCTCAGACCGGTTTGCTGTTGTCTCTCATACAGAGATTGCTTGGCTAAACATTTATCGCGGTCTGGACTCTGTAAGTCAATAGACAGGGGGTCATCCAGGGGTTCAGCTCATCAGCGGACATTACAGCTGTGCACGCTAACCAAAACCGGGGCTGCTGCCAATAGTGGATGGGGCACACAACAACAATTTCCGGGGGGCGGCTGCATTGAACCGCGTGGTTGGGACAACAGGTCACTGTTGCTCGGAGTTTTCAGTCCGTCTGGCTGTTGCCGCCCTCCGGCTCGGAAAGTCCCACTATTCCCGGATGTCAAACGGAGGACGGATCGGCGTCGCAGTGCAAAAAGCCGATGGTGACACGGGTGAGCCTCACCGAACGCGAGGAATACGGACAGTGCAATGGAACGTGGCGAAGCCGACCATGGCCACGGCCCACATGACACCCTCAAACAAGCACTGCCGAGACTGCCCTAAACTTTATAACAACCTCACGCCTACTTTCCGTCTATATTAATTTTAACACCGGCATCTTTCTTCATCAGCGTTACATTTTATTATGATCCGTCCAAACAAAGCAAAATCCTCGCCAGACCTCTCCATCCACCTCCATGCGCCCACCCCGGACAGAACTGTCTTCTTCCCCGGCGAAAAAATCACGGGTCAGATCCGAAGACAAGAGCACATTGTCCGCCCAGAAGTATGGCTCATCCTCTTCCTCCACGGCCGGTCCGTCGCACGCATCGAGAAGACCACCGGTTCGGGCGAAAGCCAAACAACGCACCACTACAACACGGAATACACCCTCTTCCCTCGCCAGCAAGTAACATGCATCAACGGAAGCCCGGTGCATATTCCCCCAAACAGCCCTGAAGGGCAAGTGTGGAATTTTCAGGTGCAGATCCCTCCCCATTGCCTCAACCCGAAGTTGGCAAACGCGACAAAGGAGGACGGCTGGTGGGCGCGCAACAAGCAGGATCCAGAAATGGCGTTTGTCCCACTTCAGACTCCGCAAATTCCCCTGCCCTGCTCGGTGATGTCGCACCAAGGGCATGGATCGAGCAAGCAGGCGACGTGGGTGGAGTATTGGCTTGAGGCGTTTTTATATGACAAGGCGCCGTTTCACAATAGTAATGTTAAGCATGTGGCCAAGTCTAGGTTGCCGGTGGCGGTGTATTCGATGCCGTTGGCGGGTGTGCAGACGGTGAAGATGCTCAGGTTTTGGTCGGCGAACCAAGTGATACGATCGCAGCGGTTGCTGGCTGGACGGGAGGGGGATAAGCTGAGTGTTAAGGAGAAGATGCTCAAGATGGTGAGGAGTTCGAGAGTGCCGAGGTTGGGGTTCAGGGTTTTGGTTGATTTACCTGCGGGGATACAGTTGGGGGAGCTGCTTGGGGGGTTGAGGGTCGGGGTGTGGAAGTTGCATGAGCTTACTGCTGGGCTGGGGGATGACAGTGAGGAGGAGGATGAGAGACACCGCGAGGAGAAAAACAAGGGGAAGGTGACGAAGACGGAAGAAGCGGAAGGAGAGAGACTTCCGGGTTATGAGCAAGGTGAGAGCTCTACTATCCGAGCAGCACGGCCTTTCCATGAGCAACCGCACGCCGCCTCAGAAAACGACATCAAAATCCGTCTCGTCAGCCTCAAAATCAAGATCAAGGCCACCACGTCTGTTTCGGTGAAGGGGAGCGTGCTCGATAAATATGACATGACGAAGGAAACCGACATTGCCAGACTTGAACTTAGTACGCCCGCTCTGGGCTTGCCGGGTGGTGATGGAAAAG